CACCCGTGAAGCCTCATTTCCTAAAGACCGAGAACGTGACCGTGCATCTGCGTGCAGAGGCGGGCATAGGGAAAGGATCAGCAGTGACCGTGCGTGGCTCCCTCCAATCTACCAGCTGCAGAACCGTCCCCCATTGCACGCGTCCAAACCCAGGCAGCTGCAACATTTCAAAGCTCAGGAAATAAGCCCCAAGAATGCAATCAGTCTAAGACGTCTTTGGTTTATCGTCCCATCTTGTGCTTTTTTCTTTTTTTACGATGTTGCCAACTACATAAAAGTTCAGATGCGGAAGTCTAGTTTGGGACTGTAGGTAGGACTGGGGAGCACGCATGGCCACCACGATGCCCGTGAGCAGTGGGGGCAGAGAGTCACTGTGAGGCTGCAAGCACGTCCTTCCAGAGGAAGAGGGGCAATACCTTAGAATTCTCCCATCTGGGGTCTTCCCTTCAAATCCTCCACACCTCCCAACTTCACACTGTCTTTTCCCTCTTTTCCTTAACTCCTTAATACCCACTCAACTGTTTCTTTTTATGAGGCTTTAAAAAACGTGTGTGCAGGGTGCCTGGGTGGCTCAGTTGGTTAAGTGTCTGCCTTCGGCTCAGGTCACAATCCTGGAGTCCCAGGATCAAGTCTGCTCCTCGCTCTGACCCTCCCCCCGCCATGCTCTCTCAAATAAATAAAATCTTAAAAAAAAAAGTGTGTGCATTTTCCAAATACATTTACACTGCAAGCAATGAGTTCTTCGGTAATAATTAGTGATGACTCTCTTAGGACTCTGTGCCTTCACCACACTGACACCAATATGATGATGTAGGACACTGTGGTTTGGTCTACATGCTCCCTTTCAAATGATCTCCATACCGTACTATTACTGCCCTAGAGGATTCCTGTCTGGCTGTGTGCAATCAAAGGATGTTGTATTAAAAAGCTAAGTGAGGGGTGCCTGGGTGGCTCAGTGGGTTAAGGCCTCTGCCTTCAGCTCAGGTCATGGTCCCAGGGTCCTGGGATCGAGCCCCGCATTGGGCTCTCTGCTCAGTGGGGAGCCCGCTTCCCTTCCTCTCTCTCTCTGCATGCCTCTGCCTACTTGTGAGCTCTGTCAAATAAATAAATAAAAATCTTAAAAAAAAAAAAAAGCTAAGTGACTTTATAATCAATCAAAAGAGTCTGATCATTCCAAAGGAAGAGAGGGCAACCTCCCAAACCTGTCCCCTTTATTAGAGGAGTCATGGAAAAGCAGTCTACCTCTTAATTATGGAGCTCCCCAAAACTGCCAGGCCACCTGCTCACTGACTGACCCCTGCCCCACTCTGTTCCCATCGGCCTACCCCCAAGGAACAGAGACGAGCATTCTTGCAAAGCCCCTGAGTAGACCACAAATGATGTGCCACCAAAGTGGCCCCCTGTGCTTCAGTCGAGCTGATCAGCCAGAGCCAGTTTGGGCTGGGCCATCAGGTCAACCCCAGGGGCCAACCGGAATGATAGATCCCACAGAGCGTGGCTGTGACTCCAGGGAAAGCCTGCCAGGAACATCCCTGACCTTGTCTCTCTCTCTCTCTGGGGTGGCTTGGCAAATGCGTACGGCTTTTTCAAGTTCCATGGCCCAGGGCTCCCGGGTGTCCTGTCTGATCTCAACATTTCTCTCATTGCTGGCCTCAGCAGGCCACAGCCTCGGCCCAGAAGGGAGGGAGAGAGTCAGGTTGGAGGACCCTCTGGAGCCTACATTCATTAAGGAAGATCGGCTACAGCTTAGCAGACCAACCCCACGGCCAGGGGCCTCCCCCACTCTCTGTCCTCATGTGTGGGGATGGAAAACAGCCCCTTCATTCGCTCATTTCAGGCTTTTTCAGGCCCTGACACTCAGTCTATCACTTAAAATTCCTATGCTGCCCGCTCGGGTGAAGTTTAACCTGATCCCAATTCTGCTGGCCTTCCGGGCGCTGGCCCCGTTCACAGGAAGCAGCTGATCCAAACTTGCACAAATTCTCTGGGGGTGGAAATACCTGCCTCACATACCCAAAGTTCATTGCTTTGAAATTATACGGTTGTAGAAACTCTTCCAAAAACTTAGGTAATGTCTAAGGGCTCCCTGAGACGTAAATAAAACGAAGAAGCATAAACAGAAAACAATTATTACTTGCACCTCGGGTCTCTGAAGAGCCAAGAAGTGCAGTTTGCATAGCTTTTCAAGATAAGTGAGGGAGAACACCACCGGCCCACGCCTCTGCCCCCAGTCCAAAGCAGAAGAGGCGAAATGCAACACGAGATTTATGCTTCATGCCCCATAAACAAGTAAAGATCTACTCTAATTATGCATCTTCTTTAAACAGATACCAAACCTCTCTGGAGACAGCACAGACGCCACGCAACTGGGAACAGGGCCCACATTCCCCTGCACCGTACACTTGCCGCTAAGTCATTCGGGAGATATCTGATGCATCAGGATTTAATTGCTACTCAACATCGGAATAAAGTTTTATTGAGTATAGCCATGCCCATCTGTTTATTTACTGTCTACGGCATTTCTGCACTAAAAGAACGGCGTGGACTTAACTGTGACGGAGACCATATGGCCCACGAGGCCTAAAATATTTCACTGTCTGGTCCTTTCCAGCAAAAGTTTGCCAACCCCAGGCTCTACATGACCTTTAGATCCAAGGTGGCTTTGGAATGCTCCCATCTATGGACATCAAAAATCTCCTACTTGCTATGGCTCCTCTCCCACACTTTGCGGTTGAGGCTGCCCTCACAGACACACAACACACATGCCCCATTCCACTTCCCGAGGCAGTAACCGACACATTACCACCCACCTTAACCGTCTCGAGCACATTCAAGAACCAAAATCCAAGCAAGGTAGAGGGCCCTGCAAACTTGGCTAGCCTGAGATCCCGTTGCTTTCCCACAGGTCTCAGGACTACCTTGCAACGAAGAGGGCCGCCCTGAGTCACTTCCTCCCTGCCTTCAGCCCTTCCTCTGCAGAGGGCACTTAGGAGGAAGTGTCCCACGTTTTGCTCACACGAACAGGATGAACACGGCAGACTAAACACCAGAAGTGTCTGCTGCTGCAGGAATTTCAGAATCTAAAGTCTTAGAGGTCCACCCGCAGCTGGTACACACTGAACGCAGACTCTTGGCGGGGTTCTTTTATCTAAAGCACAGCGCCCTCACATGGTGCCGAAGCGAAGCACAGTCTTTCCGAACGCGGGAGGACTGAGGGGAACCTTCGCACAGCGCGCACAGCTCGGATGCCATCTGTGAGAGGGCCCCGCGTTCAACTCGGTGAGGATTTGGAATCAATGTTATCCAGATTTCCACCCTCCGCTCCTTCACAGATAGCTGCTCCTCGCTGGAAACTTTACACCGAGAAGTGTAAACTCTGACCTCTACAGAAACTCACCAAACCGCAGCAAATGGGATTCAGATGTTTCCATGTACAGTACAGTGATGTGACCTAGACTTTAAACACTTTGGCAAAAACAGGAAAAATGATGTGGGCCTTCCAGTCCCTCCCAGAACATGATACAGCCTTGACCCGAGTCTTACGGTGATCTGAGCCTTTCTCACTCCTCCTTAAGCCTCCTCACCCGCAGCCCACATTATCTCTGCCCCTGTTCCACATTAGCTCCTAACAGGCTGCCTCCACGGTCCATTTTCCTTGTTTAACCGAAGACGCCAATTTCTTCCAGGCAAGCAAAAGTAGATCACATTCTGATCAGGACTCAGAAAAAATCCTACAAGGAGAGCTAGTGAAAGCCTGGGAAATCCTAGGAAATGACCCCCCCAAGATCCTCTGCAGAGCTGGGAGGAAAGCAGAAGTCTTACATAAGACTTGGACCCCCAGGCTCTCTAGCTCTGTGGCAGATTCTCTAGGACTGGTCGCATACTATGTGGGTAAGGGCTAGAGAATTCTAGACGGCGGAGCAAGATAAGGTGGAGGTGGAGGAAGCAGTTTTCTTCTGCCAGGGAAGAACAGACACAAAAGAGTATCAGAAACCACTCTCCCAGAGGCCAGTCATGACAGAAGATACAGAAACAACCCGGGTGTCTCACGCTCTGAGCCATACCAGGCTCTGTTGGGGGCAGCCCATCTGCCAGCCATGTGCGCTCCCAGGGGGCAAGATGGAGAAGCTGAGAAGCATGCGGCTGGGCACTGGTGTACAGGGATCGAGTGTGAGCATAAGCAGGGCAGGGGTGCACAAGAACGTCCCCTGCCCCTCTGAGCACTGCACAGGTACTTCTAATGTGGCAGGGCAAGGTCGCCGGGGGTGGGGTAGCTATTGCCCCAGCAAGGGAGCTTCTGGGGACAGGTACAGGGCCTTATCACCAATGTAAGCACCCCCAAGACCTGGCTGAAGGTGGCTGCCAGACACATACCTGCCCGTGGTATAAAGGAACAAAGGGTCCAACACCCATTCTCTTGGTTCTCACGTTCAACTAAGAAGAGGTTAGTAGCTTGTCGGGGACCCGTCAAACTTTCCTTTTCCGGGTACAGAAAGACTCAAGAGGGACAGCAGGGAGGTGAATGCTTACTACCCTACCCCCACATCCAACAACAGATGAGATACACACCTAGGGGTGTTACCCGTGACACACACACATACACACCTGTGCAGATACAAGTAAATATGAGAGAAGTGCGCCTCTCCGTCTAGGGGCCTGACAAGGTTTCCTCCCCGCCGGACCTGTGCTCCCCTGGGCGGACTGCTGAGTATCTTCTGGGCAACCCCAGAACTGCACAGTCCCCGTGTACTTCAGAGCTTCTGCACAGCCAGTGGCAGGCACTGGACAGTCCGCTGCTTCCCCTCTCACCATCTTTGCTCAGAGACCCTCCGGAAGGTCCGGGCGGGAAGAGGGGAGGCTCCCTCCGGACGGCGGGAGAGCAACCCTGGAGGCTGAACTTCCCGCCCAGGAACCGCCACCCCCAGCCCAACCTGCCCTGGGGACCACCCCCGGCGCGGCGACATTTCGACGGGCAGAACCGGAGGGGGCGCGGGCAGTACCAGGCCGCCGCCGGCGCCGCAGGCGCTGAGCGAGACGAGGGAACCGGGGTGGCCGAGCACGCGGCCCGAGTAGAAGCACAGCTCGGCGGGCCGTCCGCGGCGCCCGGCCGCTCCCGCCTCCTCCACCTCGAAGCCGCGGGACAGGAACCGCAGGTCGTGGCGAAGCTGCAGGTACAGGTCGCGCCCGAAGGCCGGCAGGTGCAGCAGCAAGGCGCGCTCGCCCGGCCGGACGCGCGAGGCGGCTGGGGGCGCGCGGGGGCGCCGGCGCTTTCGGGGCCCGGGGGCGCCGGGCAGCGGCGGCAGGTGCACGTCGTCTGGACGCACCCGCCGCGGCAGTACCACCTCCACGTCGGCCGCCGCGTCGCCGACAGCTGCGGGGAGAGAGGAGACGTGTCAGCTCGGCGGGGCCCGCCCGGCTGCCCGCCCTCCCTCCGGCCGCCCGCCGCGCACCGGGTCCAGCGCCGGGACAACGCGGCCCCGAGCGGGCGCTCCCTTCCTTCCCCGCGCCGCGGCACCTCGGTGCCGGCCAGAGCCTCCGCCCAGGACCCGCGCCCCCCCGGGGAAGGGCTCCAGCGCGGCCGCCCGAGCACCTCCGGGGACGGCGGCGCGGCATCGGCGCCGGGAAACCCGGCGGCGGCGCGGCCGCCCGGGAGCCCCCTAGAGCCGGGTCGTCCGGCCGCGGCCCGCAGCCCCTCGGCCCCGAGCGTTGTCAGCGCTCCGCCGCCGGCCCCGGGCCGCGCAGGCAGGCGGGGGCCGCCAGGACGCCTCGGGATGGCAGGAGGAAGGTGGTGGCCGCGAGAGGCACGGGCGAGGAAGGGGCGGTGGGCGAGGGAGCGCTACCTGTGCCCGGGTCCAGTCCCCAAACCAGCAGCAGCAGCAAGGGCAGGACGAGAGGAGGCAGCAGGGCGCCGTCACACATGGTACTTGGGAGGAGCAGCCCCCCGGACGGTCGTGGCGGAGCAGGAGCACGCGAGGCGGCGGCGCCAGCCGGAGTGAAGCCCTCCAGCCTTTGGAAAAAGTAATTAGCGCTGCGGACAAACCCAACGTGGTAAATCCCAAGCCCCGCCTTCTCCTCGGAAAACAGGCGGCGATTGGGCTCTCGCTTTCCCCTGCCCCGCCTCCTCATTCCCCATTGGCCAGGACGGGTCTAAACCAGGGTGCGTAGTTAGGTTGTAAGCACTTTCTTACACGTGGTTTCTGGGCAGTGGCGGGGGCGGGACACCAGGTGGCGCCATGGAGCCCCTGGAGCTGCGCTACCGCGGAGGCCCTATGAGGACACCTGACTGGTCTTCAGAGTTTGTGCTCCTTGTCACACTCCTCTCTGACCCTGCTGCCCAGCATCCCAAGAAGACAGGCCAGAAATCGTCCTGGACAACCGGTTTCATTCTTAAAAGCATGTTCTCTCTACGTCTACAGTAAAACTAGTTTGGGTTGTTTGTGGCTGGACATTTTCTGGCACACCTGAGTTTGCACCTGATGGCTACGTACAACGCAGCAGCGTTTAGGCAAAGCCTTCGCACCTCCTGCCGCCTTTATCCTCACAGAAACCAGCAGTACAGGCGTGACCACACCCTCTTACAGACTGAGAAACTGAGGGAGAGAGAGCTGAAGAAGCTTGCTAGTTACTGGGGTGAGTTTCTATCAAAACAGGAGCTAGAAGTGGTCCTAACTTCCAGCCTGGTGCTGCTTAGGACAAACAAGAAGAAAGAGGCTCCAAGGGCAGGCAGATTTTTTTTTGGGGGGGGGGTGCTCTAAGAAACTCATACAAGGTGGCAAAGCCTAGACTTCCAATTGAGTTCATTCTTTTCCCACAAGAATAAAACTGAAGTTTGCAAGAAAAATGATTCTTTTAGCTTTGTGAGGAGCATCTTGTAGAAAACAAAACAGAATTAACTGAAGCGTAACCATTCTTGGGTCTCTTCCTCTCCCTTTCTAGTCCTGTTTTCTGTTTCTGTTTTCTCAAAGCAGAGAGGTTACCACACTCCTACTGGACTCTGCTTGAAGCCTTTCAGAATCTAAAATATATCACAGGATTCTGCGTCAGCAGAAGGAATCCAGAGGTGAAAACTGTCCAGCTTCCAGGACATTTCGTTAACCCTGGGAGTGGACTGCATCACTGGTTCTCAATAAAGCCTCCTTCTTTTACTACAGCAAACTTGCTGCTCTGGGAGTCCTCCAGAGTGTGTCTGATAGAATTTTCTTCTGCTCTGTCTACCCCTGCCCTCCACAGGGGCTGGCCTCTGTCATGCGCTGCTCTGGGGACTGCCACTTGCTGCTGGGTACCACACACATCCACACACGTCCAAAAAAGCCTTGGTGCTTTTCCCTTCCTCCTTGACAGCAGCGTCAGCCAAATGCTGATGGCATAAGAAATCATGGGGAGCTTCGTGGGGCAGCTTTGTTAGCAAAAGACCCACCTCACAGACCTGCCCCCCAAAAGCCAGGGAGCACCAGCCACTCTGCTTCGCATGGTTTAAAGTCATCCTTGTCAACGTATCAGATGATGCTCTGATGCACGAGTCCAAAGGACCATGCAGACTGAAGTAACAGCAAGATACTGTCGCATCCCCCAGACTGTCCAAAACTGAAGTGCAAGGAAATATCAAGCATTGGAGAGGACACTCTCCTGCCCCTGGATGGGAGTGCAGATTGGCATGGCCACTTTGAAGAACAATCGGGCAAACTGTGATCAAATCCAAAAGGTACATGCCCTACAACTCTGTGATCCCACTTCTGGTTAACGATCACAGAGAAACACGGGCACGCATTACAGAATGTTGACCACAGGGCCTTGTTAAGAGGAGACATACTGGGGCGCCTGGGTGGCTCAGGTCGATCCCAGGGTCCTGGGGTTGAGCCCCACATTGGGCTCTCTGCTCGCCAGGGAGCCTGCTTCCCCATCTCTCTCTCTGCCTGCCTCTCTGCCTACTTGTAATCTCTGTCAAATAAATAAATAAAAATCTTAAAAAAAAAAAAAGCAGACATACGAAAACCTGAATGTCTATCATTAGATAAATGGCAGCTAGAACACAAGGCATCGTTTCAATGCACTAAGTTCATATTTACACCACAAAAGGAACTCCAAGACTGGTTGTCATATTTTTTTTAATCAAATTGAGGAAGAATGCACATGATAATACTTCCATAAATGCACACAGTATTAAATCATTTGTATGGTAAAATCCTAAGGGAAAGTCTGGAAGGATACACACCGAACTTTTTTAAGGTTTGGTGTCCTTTTTATATTAAATTGCATGAAAGGATGCCATTCGGGGTCCAGGCAGGGTAACTGCTACCATTCTAGGTATTTCGAGCAGGGAGAATCTAACATGGAGAATTGAGTACAAAAGTAAGGAAGAGCTAAACGGGGAAATTCAGTGATTATACACTGCCCCTGCCCCTGCGGTGCATTCCAGCCCTAAGAGCCTCTGTTTCCTGCTGCATCACTGAAGGCGCCGTCACAGTTGGTTCTGGATCTACCAGATGTGTGAACTAGACTGGGGCTCCATGCCCAGGGCCACACCAGCAACTCCCAACACATGTTGCACTGGATCCTTATCTCTGTTCCTTGCCATCTGATCTCCTGCCAGGGCCTCCTTTTGGCAGAATCTAACGGGAAGCCTAAGAAATGTAGGGGAGAAACATCAGGAGATCACAGCATGTAGGTCACAGGCTTTCAGCCTCAACTATGAAAAGCAGCCCTTAGAAGTGAGCATGTGGAGCCAAGAGACAGACCTTCTAAAGGTCTTAATCTGGTCTAGATGAGTCTGAATTCCCTTTGCCTCTCACCATTGTATTTCAGCCTCCCTTCCAAAATGATCTGATGTTTCAGTGCAGTCCCTATCAAAATTCTGTTGGCATTTTGCACAGAAATACCAAAAAACCCAAAAGTCATATGGAAACACAGAAGACCCCAAGAAGCCAAAGCAATCTTGAGAAAGAAGAACAAAGATGGAGGTATCCCACTGCCTGGTTTCAAGCCCTATTACAAAGTTGTAATATAGTGATCAGTAGGGTATTGGCATTAAAAACAGACGCATAGACCAATGGAACAGAATCCAAATCCCAGAAATAAACCCAGGTGTATATGGTCAACTAATATTTGACAAGGCAGCCAAGAATACTCAGAAAGAAGGACAGTCTCTTCAATGAATGGTGATAGGAAAACTGGATATTCACAGGCAAAAGAATGAAATTAGACCCCTGTCTAACACCACTCACAGAAATCAACTTGAGTTGGGTTAAAGACTTAACTGTAAACCTTGAAGCCATAAAACTCAAAGAAGAAAGCATACGGAACAGCTCCTTGGCACTGTTCTCGGCAATAATGTTTTACGATGACATCAAAAGCATAGACAGCAAAACAAAGAATCAACAAGTGGGACTACATCACTTTCTGTGCAGCAAAGCAACCATGAACAAAACAGAAAGGCAACTCCAGAATGGGAGAAAATATCTGCAAACCATACATCTAAGAAGGGATTGATATCCAAAACACATAGGGAAATCTTACAACTTAATAAAAAAAAAATCTGGGGCACCTGGGTGGCTCAGTAGTTTAAGCACTCGACTCCTGGTTTGGGCTCAGGTCATGACCTCAGGGTCACGAGATCAAATCCTGTGTCAGGTTCCACACTCAGTGCGGAGTCAGCTTGGGAGTCTCTCCCTCTCTGTGCCCTCTTGCCCCCCACCCCCGCTCAAGCGTGTGCGCTCTCTCTCTCTCTCAAATAAATAAAATATTTTAAAATAATAATAATAATAATCCAATTTAAAAATGGGCAAAGAGGCCAAATAGACATTCTTCCAAGGAAGACATAGAAATGGTCAACAGGTGCATGAAAAGACACTCAGCATCACTCATCATCAGAGAAAAGCAAAGGAGAACCACAATGAGATACCACCTCACACCTGCTGGGATAGGGGTTATCAAAAGGACAAGAGATCACAAGCGCTGGTGAGGATGTGGAGGAAGGGGAACACCTGTGTGCTGTCAGAGGGGGGTTAAACTGGTTCAGCCACTAAGGAAAACAGTGTGCGGGTTCCTCAAAAACTTTAAAATGGAGCTACCCTACAATCCAGCAATTCTGCTTCCGCACAGACATCCGAAAGAAGACATGACACAAGGTGAAATAAATCAATCACAAAAAGACAAATAATGAAAGACAAATAAGTCACACACACAAAAAATACTATACAATTCCACATAGGTGAGGTACCTAGAACAGTCAAATTCATACACACATGAGGTAGAATAGTGATTCCCATGGGCTGGGGAAGGGGAAATGAGAATTCGTTTAATGCATACAAAGTTTCTGTTTGGAAAGATGAAAAAGTTCTGGAGATGGAGAGGGGTCATGGTTGCACAACAGCATGAATGTACTTAATACCACTGAACTGTATACCAAAAATGACTAAAATGGTAAGTTTTATGTTATGTGTATTTTCTCAGAATAAAGGAATGCTTAAAAAAAAGAAAGAAATTGTTACCATTAGCTTTGGTCTCAATTCATCTTAACACACACAAATAGCCTTGTCTTAATTTTGTGGAAGGGGGGCTTAATCCCCACTTCACGGATGGAGCAAAGGGTTCCGTGTATGGTTAAAATCAGACCGGTAAGCAGGCAAAAACCCTACAAGTGGCAGTGATGATCTGAAAGGGACGTAAGGGAAGCCATCCTCTGGGTTTGGTCGTCAAAACAATTTGTTGTGCTCATAGTTGACAAAACTCAACTTTTCAGCTCATCCACTTGTTTTTTGCAAACTCTATCCAGTGGGCAGTGGTCTTTTCTGATCATGTTGTCTAGCAACGGACCCCCAGGAGGTCGGGTACATTGCTTCTCTTGGCCTCTCTCTTCCGACACTTCACAGCGACACTCGGGTTTGGATGCTGGTGGCCATCACTATTATTGTGAGTGAACGCAAGACGGACTCCGCCAAGACCCACCATTTCAAAGCCCATACTTAGAAATAGAGACCCCAAGACCCAGACCGGG